TCCCTAAATACAAAAATGGCACGCCTAGGAGCAAACAAAAAAAAAATCACAGCATACTTAGCAAAAATTTTAAAGGGTGTACATTTAAATGTTATGAAGTGTGAAACCCATACCTGGTGTTTTTCGTGATTTCTTCACTGTTTGATCGACTGTGTGATAAGATGTTCCCCATTTCTTCTTCAATCGAGTAAGTCTTTCTCTTTTGACCGTAGTCTTTTATATATATGTATTTTGTGATAATATTTTATGGCATACTTAAGTAGGATCATGTGGCATACAAGTTGAGAATCCCTGCTCTAGATAGAATTATTTAGTATTTATTGAATTTTTATGATGGATTCAGAATATGTGCCATCACTGCTCTCATTCCAATTCGAGATCATAATTTCTGTTTTAGAAAGTTTTATCTTGAGTCTCATTTTTTGGAACACTTGACGCTAATTTACCATTTTTTAATTTTTTTTTTTAACCATACTGAGAATCACTTAATGATTTACAACAATATTATGGCTACTCTTCAACAGTACAGTGACTGCTTCACCCAAAATTTTTATTCTTTAATTTTCTACACATTTTGCCAAGATCAAACTGTAGTAGCTGTTCTCTAATCAACTGAGATAGAAGAAGGCGCCTGGTTCTGGGGCATCCAACCTTGTGGCAGCACCTTTAATTTGCGGTGTTGGATGTGACCATCTCTAGAGAAGACCATTTCCTTTACTTCTATCCTATACTGTTTCTTATAACTGATCAATACACCGAGATATTTGAAGTGTTTAGTATTTACTAATTCCACATCCTGAAGTTTTATAATGGATTTGTAGGAAAATGAAATAAAATCTCTAAATAAAATAATAATAATAATAATAATAATAATAATAATAATAATAATAATAATGAAATCGAAATCTCAAGAATGTGGCACGTGGGAACATCAACAATCCCTGTTGTAGCTGGAACCCTAGGATTGGTTGGAAAAGACTCTAGTAGACTAATTGAAGGGATTCCTGGAAGCCCATGCCTCAAAGAAATACAAAAAATTGTTCTCACAAGTACAGCCCATACTTTACGAGGGGCTTTATCTATGTATTTTTTTTTTTTTTTTTGTCAGTGTAAAGTGTCATGATGCCATTTCTAACCTTAGGTCTCTGGGCGGGACCCGGAAAGAAATGTATACACGCCAGAAATCAAAGGAAATAAAAACAACAGCAACAACAATTACACGAACCACAACAACAATAATAACAATAATAATAATAAAAATAATAATAATAATAATGAAAAAAAGAAATAGAAAATTTTTTAAAGTGTGTAGATTTAAATGTTATGAAGTGTGAAACCCGTGCTTGGTGTTTTATTGTGATTTCTTCAGTGTCGATTGTGTGATAAGCAGACCCTCATTTCTTCTTCAATCGAGCATAGTCTTCCTCTCTTGAGCGTAGTCTTTCATATATATGTATGCCATGACAATATTCGATGGCATACTTAAGTAACATCATGCGGCTTATGCTATCAGTGTTGGTACGATCAGTGCTTTCATTTCAATTCCTGTTCATCGTCTCTGTTTAGTAAAACATAATTTTGTGTCATTTTTCTTAGTAGATTATTAGAGAATGTTGATTTTCTTTTCAAGAATTACCTGAATTATGTCATCGATATATTCTTCCTCATCATCAGTACACTAGCCTCGGGAGAGAAAGCAGGATTGGTGTCTTCTGTTAGTAAATTCATTTGGGAGCGAAATTGTCGTAATTAAACTAGTTTGATTAGATTAAACGTTATGTGAGTCCCAAGCTAAGAAAATTAATTTTTTGCTGCAAGTTTTCAACAATGATACACAGAGTTTCCAAAAAGGTTTTCGTAGACACTATAGTAGACACTATCTTGCTTACGGTCATATCACGTACGATCACCAAAGTTGAGCAACGTTGAGCCTGATCAGTAATTAGATCGGTTACTGTTTGAAAAAAACCAAGTGCTGTAAGCTTGAATGTGCAGATCTACCTCGAGGTAGAGGATTACAGAGTAAGAGGAAGAGTTTATGCGGATATGTAGGGAAGGTAACGGTTATCCCTAGACTTGAACAGCTTAAGATTGCAGTGATCAGGGAAGCATCCTCTTGGGAGCCTGTTTGTTCTACCACAAGGGTTACAGGGTTACAGAATAAGAGGCACCGTTTATGCGGATATGTAGGAAAGGTAACGTTTAACCGTAGACTTGAACAGCTTAAACTTGTAGTGATCAGGGAAGCATCCTCTTGGGAGTCTGTTTGATCTACCACAAAGTAGAGGGTTACAGACTCCGAATCTTAACCTGTTCAAGTCTAGAGTCAACCGTTATCTTCCTCACATATCCCCATAATCCGTGCTTTTTACTCTGAAACCCTGTACCTCGAGGTAGACCAGACGCCTAAGAGGATGCTTCCCCGATCACTACAATCTTAACCTGTTCATGTCTAGTGTTAACCGTTTTCTTCCCCACATATCCGCATAAACTGTGCCTCTTACTCTGTAACCGTCTACCTCGAAGTAGAATAAACAGACTCCCAAGAGGATGCTCCCCCGATCACTACAATCTTAACCTGTTCAAATCTAGGGTTAACTGTTATCCTCCCCACATATCCTCATTTCTCTTAATCTGTAACCCTCTGCCTCGAGGCAGAACAAAGAGACTCCCATGAAGATGCTTCCCCGATCACTACAATCTTAATCTGTTCACGTCTTGGGTCAATCGTTATCTTCCCCACATATCCTCATAAACGGTGCCTCTTACTCTGTAAACCTCTACCTCGAGGTAGAACAAACAGACTCCCAAGAGGATACTTCCCCGATCACTACAGTCTTAACCTATTCAAGTCTAGGGTCAACCGTTATGTTCCCCTCATATCCTCATAAACGGTGCCTCTTACTCTATAATCCTCTACTAGGGAGTGCCTCTTAAATCTCATACAAAGTTAACATTACTTTAAAAAGGGAGACGGGCTCAGACTTGGAAAGGAACTGAAAATATTTTTTAATTCTAAATTTCACCGTTCAAGAACCACTCGTGGTAGACAGTTATTGAATGTTAGAAGAGGCAGGAGCAAATGAAAATTATTAGCATGAGGTTATTAGTGCTACTTACTTTTCAACCCTCTACCTCGAGTGGCTCATGGGCCTTGTTCAGGATAAACATTGGAAAAAAGACGTTCGTGATGCAATGCTGGAGTCTGAGGAATTGCTGATAGACTACAAGAAGCCAGAGACGACACGCAGCGTAATTTCATACAAGGTGCGACAGAAATACCTTCCACATAATGGTAAGGCATTAACTAGATGAAGCCACCATTGCCACTAATGTCATACCATTATGTGAGAGGTATTTCTGAGAGATATATGTAGGAGGTATTTCTGCCGCACTTTGTGTAATTTTTTTAAAAAAATCATTTTACCACCAAGCAAGGCAATAACACTACTAAGACGCAAGTGGTTACTGAGCGGTAGAGAATATGAGAAGAATAATGCTTTTAAGGAGAGAAGACGATAAAAGAAAAAGAATTAAGAAGACAGAAGATAACGTCTGACATTGCTTATAAATTTTTGAAGATCAATGTTAACAGGGAATATAGGAGCCGGGAAAGAATTTTACGGGCGAAAAACGATAGCATAGAACTTAACGGTTACATCTAGCTAATTCAATTATAAAATGACGGGACCTTGCCGCCAATCTAGCACTGCGTTCAGATTTATAAAGTCTAGGTACCATAGAGGAGAGTTCAACACAACAATCATTATGAAAGTGTTTATAGAAAAGACACAGGCGGTAGGAAAGTGACTAAAACCGAGATGCCAGGTCAGGACTAATAATATAGCATATTCTTCTTTGGAGTTTATCAAAAATCTCTAAATATATAACAGGAACAACAGACCTTAAATGACAACAATATTCTAAGACTGGACGAATGGTAGATTTATAAATATGTTAGATACATTCGGGCAAGAATAATTCGACACAGTGAAGCAAATTTCCTAGCTTATATTAATATAATCTTTCAAATTTTGTTCAGGAGAAAAAAAACTTAACAATTGATTCAATATACTCTTTCAAATTTAGATCAACGGAAAAAACCCCCAAAAACTTAACAATTGACTTAATATAAACTTTCCACTTCAGGTTAGCAGAAAAAAAAATTAGCAGTTGATTCAATATAAACTTTCCACTTTAGCTCAACGGGAAAAAATACGAGAAGATGCAACGAATCAAACTCCTGGAGGTTACCATCAGCCATGTTTATTGAAGGAAAATGGTTCCCTCAGACGATTATACGAGGTTCGGTAGAAATACCTCCCACATAACGGTAAGACAGATGAAGACACCACTGTACCTAATGTCTTACCGTTATTAGGGAGGTATTTCTGGCAGGTATATGTGGGAGGTATTTCTGTAGCATCCTGAACTTTGCTCGCAGAGCGAACTCAAAAACATAGCTACAATTATCAAACGTTTAAGATTGCAGTCGACATCGGAAAAAAGAAAGAAAGAAAAAAAAACGAAATGACGTTGTTTTCATATTGATTTACGACCGCTTATTAATGGAACGTATTCGCCCATCTCTATGTATGGGGAAACATTAGCAGATGAAAACTGACAGGCAATGAATTAATGAAGTTTGAGTTGGCACAGGTGAGGTCCAGCCGTGGAGCTAAGTGGTTTCTAATGGAAGTCTGCTTTATATTAAATAAACAATCCTCGTGGAAGGTGTAATGAGAGTTTGAGAATATTCGTTTATGTTTTCGTCTTTCCTTCTTTGAATTGTTCATTGTTCATTTATGTTTCGTTATGAATAATTTCTTTTTATTTCTTTTTTTTTCTTCATTTCTTTCAATCTATCTCCCTTATCAAAGCAGCGGGACCAATAAACCTGTAGCCTAACACGTATTTATGAATGATTAATGCCCCCACCACCACAAAAAACTTATATCATTTAAAATGTGAATGTCTGAGTAACTACATCTCTCAGGCAAATGAAAATAAATAGGCTTCCTTCCTTCCTTCCTTCCTTCCTTCTTTCCACCATTCCTTCCTCTCGTTCTTCTCTCCCTCTTCCTTGCTACCCTCTTCCTTCCCCTTTCCTTCATTCTTCTCTTTCTTCATTCCTTCTTACACTCTTCCTTACTCTCTCCGTTCCTTACTTCTTCCCTCCCTTACTTCCTCCCTTACTTCTCTCCTCTCTTCATTCTTACCCTCTTCCTCTCTCCCTCCCGTCCTTCTTTCCTTCCTTCCTTCCTCACATCCTTCCTTCATTCCTTCTTACACTCTTCCTTCCTCTCTCCCTTCCTTACTTCTTCCCTCCCTTACTTCCTGCCTTCCTTCTCTCCTCCCTTCCTTCTTACCCTCTTCCTTCACTCTCCCTATTCCTTCCTACCCTCTTCATTCTCCTCTTCCTTCATCCCTTCTTACACTCTTCCTTCCTCTCTCTCTTCCTTACTTCTTCCCTCCCTTACTTCCTGCCTTCCTTCTCTCCTCTCTTCCTTCTTACCCTCTTCCTCTCTCCCTTCCTTACTTCTTCCCTCCCTTACTTCCTGCCTTCCTTCTTTCCTCTCTTCCTTCTTACCCTCTTCCTCTCTCCCTTCCTTACTTCTTCCCTCCCTTACTTCCTGCTTTCCTTCTCTCCTCTCTTCCTTCTTACCCTCTTCCTTCACTCTCCCTATTCCTTCCTACCCTCTTCATTCTCCTCTTCCTTCATCCCTTCCTACACTCTTCCTTCCTCTCTCCCTTCCTTACTTCTTCTCTCCCTTACTTCCTCTCCTTTCTCTCCTCTATTGCTTCCTACCCTCTTCCTTCCTTATTTCCTTCTTTCTTTCTTCCTTCTTCTCTCCCTTACTTCCTCCCTTCCTTCTCTCCTCTCTTCCTTCTTACCCTCTTCCTTTCTCCCTTCCGTCCTTCTTTCCTTCCTTTCTTCCTTCCTTCCTACACTCTTCCTTCCACTCTTCCTTACTTACTTCTTCCCTCCCTTACTTATTCCTTTCCTTCTCGCCTCTCTTCCTTCCTACCCTCTTCCTTCCTCCTTTCTTTGCTTCCTTCTTCTTTCCTTTCTTTCTTCCTGCCTCCTTTCCTTCCATCCTTCCTACTCTCTTCTTCACTTCTTCCTTCGATCTTTTCCTTCCTTTATTCTTTCCTTCCTTCAACATTCTTCCTTCTTCTCTTCCTTGCTTCCTTCCTTTCTTGCTTCCTTCCTTCCTACCCTCTTCTTTCTACGCTTCCTTCCTTCTTTCCTTCTTTTCCTTCCTTCCTTCCTTCCTTCCTTCCTTCCTTGTATCTTTCTTTCGTTTTTACACATTTTTCTCGTTTACATTATTTGCAAACTTCGCTTCCTTCATTAACACCTCCATGTAAACCAATTATCACTTGCTGTTCAATTAGTTCCTGTTCAGCTTCGCCTGTTACAAATTCCTTTTTGCGTTTCGCCCCGGTTTTCCTCAAAGACATAATCCATACCATTCTCTACATCTTCTACCACTGGCCTTTCTTTCCATCCATTCCATCCGGGTTTTTAAAACCATTCCATAATTTTCAGGTTTTCTTGCAGTTTCCCTCGTTCTGTTGACTTCAAATACTTATCCCAATGATAATAAATCATCTTTTCGGTGTACAAAATTCTTCTTTTTTTACATTGTATCTTTTTCTTATTTATTCGTTTTTGACGGCTTATCAACCGTTTGCAAATTATTTAAAGCCAGACAATATTGTTAGATTGTAAGAATGTTTTTTGGAAATAATAATGATTTAGTGATACAAATCTTACTAATTAACCCATAGCTGGAGAGAAAAGAGATGAGTTCTTACCTTTCCCAATGATATTTGCACAGAAGTGAATATAGCTAGCCTAACGGGAATTGGAACTCGGTTCTACAATTAACAATTCAGAGCCATTATACATTACGTCATCCGCACATTCAAGTGTACAGCACGGATTATTCCTGAGCAATCACCCATCGAGGTACTGAGCAGGCACGACATTTCTTAACTATGGTGATTGTATGGGAACCACACTTTTTTTTTTACAGGCCTTTACGCTAAAAATTATTCCAGAAATATATCTAAAGACTACCTATGACTTCACTATTATTATTATTGGTACTCGGATATTTGGCCAACGGATATTTGGCCGACGGACATTTAAACGAATGGAGATTTAGCCGAAAATGTAGTGGCGTATGTTATAGACAAGCGTATGGTTGCAAGAAAGAAATACAACAGCAGAAATAGATTTACGTGATTTATTTCAATTGGAACGTGTGGGTTTGGGACAGCTACCTTGTGGTATAGTTCATAAGCCGGCTGCCTATCTGGCTTGATCTCTCATAGTAGTTCTCACTGGTTGGTGTGGCGCTCCTCCTGCTGACTGCTGTTGACTTCCCAGACTGACCGTGACAGATCTCTTCCCTGGCCTCATGCTGACTCTTAGTACTTCCCCGTGTGACACATTTTATGGCGTTTTTATGGCTTAACAGGCTCGGAAAATGACGCGAGTATAATTAGGAGGGAAACATTTTTATTGGTCGAAAAATAGAAACACTTTAAAATATTATTTTATTTTTCGATCGGAACTCGTGCGTCGGGCCTATGCGCAAACGACGATAATGGTCATTTTGTGACGGGGCCTTGTCCCGTTCACATCCGGCTCTCGCTCTTGAGTATGTTAGTTTATTTGCCTGCAAATCAGCCGAGATATGTCTTATTTTATTTTATAACACGTACTTACATGTATGTCACAGTCTTTATCGTAGTGTGCTATATATATTTATATTTATTTACTGTATTAATTTTTTTTGACTGGCTTTTTTTAAAAACTCTATTCTGTATATATTATATTTTACTTTTTAGATGATAAGTATTTTGAGAAAAAGCACATTTTACTCCAGCAAAAATCTTAAGCTTTTACGATATGAAAGATCTTTCAATTTCGCTTTTAATGATCATTATCTGAACTAGTTTTTATCTTACTGTTAAATACGAATTTAAATAATTAGGTGCTACTTTTTACCCAAATACACTCAAATATTTTTTAAAAATACTTATTTCAATAAACAAATATTGAAATAAGAAAACTTTTAACTTTAGATTTAGTTAATTAATCACTTGAAATTCAATAGTAATTATTAGTCCTATTTTACCTTATAATATTGCTACTTTAAATACTTAAAGTATTGCTTGTTACTATTTTTATTTGACTTTTTCGGTGAAATGTCCATCGGCCAAATGTCCGTTCGGCCAAAAGTTTCTTGGCCAAATGTCTGTCGGCCAAATGTCTGTCGGCTAAATGTTTGTCGGCTAAATGTCTGTCGGCCAAATGTCTGTCAGGCAAATGTCTGTCGGCTAAATGTCTGTCAGGCAAATGTCTGTCAGGGCAAATGTCTGTCGGCCAAATGTATGTCGGCTAAATGTCTGTCAGACAAATGTCTGTCGGCTAAATGTCTGTCAGGCAAATGTCTGTCAGGCAAATGTCTGTCGGCCAAATGTCTGTCAGCCAAATGTCCCGCCACGATTATTATTATTATTATTATTATTATTATTATTATTATTATTATATTTTCTTTTTGAATTTGTTTCAGTTGTAATATCATCCTTCTTTGAACATTGTGGACTGGGACCGCATAATCACAAATAAACTACCGTATCAAAGAGCAGAAGCCAACATCATTTGAGGAATTCTAACATCAGCATCAACTAAAATGGATAGCAGTTATACATCGAAATTTTGACGATTCACACTACTTCAAACAAAACATGGGGAAGGAAACCACCATCACTACTGGAAAGAGAGATAACAGCTAATGAACACGAAAAGTTTATTTGTCCTAAATTGTTTTAAAGGGAAAAAATTAATAAATTTCAACCTGGCTGCTTGATCAGCAAATGCCAAATGTTTCCTTATAGGGAAAAGGCTAATATGACCATTACGATTTCTATTCTTTTTCTTTTGCACGGTGTTTTCATTTTTATCCGGAGATCTTGCATTGTGGGTGTTCTCCGTCAAATCATACAATCTCAAACAGATAGCCCCTTTCACAGAATATTTGAAGTCCCAAACAACGTAGGCTTCTGAAGTTATGGGATACTAGGCTTTATTTTGGCTTTCTTAATGTGGCTTTGTAGGTAGGGTGGTATAAACCCCAGTGCTCTACTGATAACTTGGACAATTGCATCCTGAACGACCCACAATCTCGCAATCATTAATAGTCTTTAGATGTTTACATGAAATAAGCTTGAGAGTCAAGGTCTTAATTTGATAAATATCAATAATAATGCTTAGGCCTTGATATTATGGTGACCATAATATGGTCAAAAAAATTGGAAAGCTTAAAAGGTGCAAATTTTTCTACGTTGGATATATTTGTAAGAATAACAGCAATAAAATTAAGGTAACTTCAATAACATCAATAAAATTAAGGTACCTTGAATAACATCAATAAAATTAATGTAACTTCAATAACAGCAATAAAATTAAGGTACCTTCAATAACAGCAATAAAATTAGGTGGCTTCACAGATACGCAATATCTAAGGTTTAAAACAAATTTTAAAAAAGAAAAAAAAATCTTTCTTAAAGCTTTTCTTTTAGTATTAATTTCAAGCTAACAGATTAAATCTAATATTTCCAATAAACAAAATATTTTTTACTGTATTTCAAAATTAATTTAAACTGGCCGGAAGGAGTTTTCGTTTTGAAATTGCTAAAATAACTGATTTTAGCACCATTTTTAGCCTTCCGTCATCACGATCTCATTCTCTTTATTAAAAAGATATTCAAAAAATAAAATATACTTTTCGGAAACTTTATTTGAGGAATATTAACTGATTTAAAGTATAATTATTCTGATTTGAAACAATAAGTTTGAAACCGGTTTTAATTCAGATGTTGACAGTTTGACAGCTTGGCTGAAAGATAGAAGTTTTTTTTTCTATGTTCGATATATATGTAAGGATTACTTGAAGAATATAACGTGAGCGTTTTTGCATATTACACAGTAATCTTTAAAATTTAGGAAATCTAATATTTTATTGAATTTTGGATTTGAATTTATTATACTTAACGCTTTTATTTTCTGATAATGTCATGTATGGACAATCGTATTTACAAATTTTAAGCCTGATTTCGCTTTTGTAAATATAGAGGATAAAACGAGAAGTCAAGTACTTCCTGAAGCGGTACAGTGAACTGACCAGAATATTTAGCGTTGTGTCGAATTGTTACGTGTTGGAAATTGTAACAAAGAAAAAAAATAATTTACCACAACACAGAGCTAAATCACAAACAAATGTTTAATTTACTAAAACTAAAACACAATATAAAATATATACAAGATAAACAATTGTGGCTTACAAAAAAACAGAAAACACAGAATTTACGTGCGAAGAATTACAAGGGAGAAGATAAGGGAGTTAAGTTTTATTACCACTTTAGGGTTAGCAAAGTAATCTAAGTGCTAATAACTGGAAATCCATAAATGTGAGTATATATTGAATAATTGGTAGTTTGGTCAATGAAAATAGTCAAAGCTCTATTTACCAGAATTGTTCCATGTGGTTCTCTTTTGGGGTTTTTGTTGGTCGGCAACTTTTCATAGAGATTCTTTCGGCTGGATATAATAAACCTTGAATCAAAAAGCCGGAGTTGATACTGGCAGAAATTTCCTTTCACCAACTGACAACCCTTTTTCAAAAACCTATTTTTATAGGGGCTAGCACCTCAAGATGTTTCTCGAATCGTCTAGATTTTTCTCGAATATACTAGAATGATCTAGAATCTTCCAAACATTCTATTTCTAATTTCTCTATTTTACAACTACTTCATGAATGAAAACTTTTTTGTACTAATAAGTAGGACTCAGTAGAATCCCTTATTATAGAAATGCATCCTCGTAACACTATGTACGAGCTCCACTTAATTTCAAGGGTGAGTTTAAGGCCCAATAGTCTATCAAGGCACCGGGGTCCTCTCCGAGAGAGAATCCATTCATCGTTAATTGTTGTAGTTCGGGATTCGAGCGGCGATGATGGAATGTGACTAGTTTGATTTTTAAGGCATTGAATGTAACCAGCTAGGTCCCCCAACTGAGATGTTAGAGCAAGATTGGATGAGGGATCAGCCACCAATCTCTGGTCCTCACGAATTTTATAGGTGCAGCTATCGTATCATCGGCATAGATATTCATAATTGATCTGTATATATTCTTAGGCAGATCATTTATGTAAAATAAAAAGCGGTTGGTCCGAGAAATGAACCCTGAGTTATTTTCTAAGGCCCCTAAGGACTGACCGTTAACAACTACCTTCTGGAATCTGTCCGTTAGGAAGGACTTTATAACTGAGAAATCACT